TGTAATATGAATAGCTTTTGATCAAAATTTAGATAACTCTTGATTAAAACTATAAAAGGTAGCTATTTAACTACAATTTAAATGAAAATTTAGTTAAGAGTTATCTAAATTATTATTTTTTTTCATATTTAAATATCACATGATAAATTTATGATAAAAAATTGTTAGTAATCTGGACGCTGTCTACTTGAGGGATCATAAAGAAACATATTCAATATTTCAAGAATGAAAATTATATAATTGAAACATTAGAGATTAAAATGAGACAATTTTTATACATTAGAGACCTCCAATACAATTAATAAAAAAAATTAGAAAAAAAAAAAAATCCATCGGGACAACCCTGATGGACACTAAGCTAAAGGTCCATTAAGAAAAGTCCAACGGATAGGTTGTGTGGGCCTTTTCGTTAGATGGCTTAAAGTGTCGATTCCAGTCACTTTTGCGACTCATGTGTCGTATATTTTTATGTTGTGTAATTATTATTTATGTCGTATTTATGTTAAAATTCACAAATTTTTTTATATTTAATTTGTTGTGATTATCAAATATTAGTTTATGCTATTTTTTATATGTATTTAATAATCGTGTCAATTTAATAGTTGCGTCGTATCGAATTCGTGTTGAGTTCGTATCAACTGATTAGAATTAACACCATTTACGTGGTACTAGCCTGATGATCAATCAAATGACTGGGATGCATGATTCGCCCGGCGATCACCGGCCACCCGGCCTATCGCCGAGCATTAGATTCTGAATATATTGTAGCCTGTGAAGTTCTTGCGCATGGCCAAACAGAGTCTGCTTGAACTTTTTTGTTTTTTGCAGGCGGTTTGGTGAACCATTTGCTGTTGTTTTTGTTATATAACAGTAACTATCATTGTGTAGTTTATTGGGTTGTTTTTATCTACTTTTGCCTGCTTGCGTGGCTTTTATCGTTCAGTTTGTCCTACGTATTTTGAGTTTATCTTTTGGGTAATATCTGTATTTCCTTTCAGAAAATAAATTTAATTGATATTATTTTTATAACATATATTTCACCTTACAAAACTTTATTTGTTCATATAGATATAAACAATTAAACACTCAAAGGTTGAGATTCCAAGTTCTAGAATTTCTATTAGAGTTCAGTAGTTGGCCGCTATGTTAGCGTAGTTACGTCTGGTCCTGAGAAATGTTTCACGTAACGTCAGGTGCTTTATGATCCCGCTTGTGAGAGTCTAACGGGATAGTTGTTGGACGCTCTTTCTTGCCCCCACCCCTATTTTAAAACTAACCAAAAAAAAAAAAATAGATATAAACAATTATATGTACTTGTACTACTAATATATGAGTTTAAAATTTTTTTAAAAATTTTTATAAAAGAGTTCAAAACAAACTAAAAGTCAAATAGATATAAAGATAAAATTAGAAGAAAATATATAAGTGAATATAGTTGATTTTATTATAATAATTAGGGATAAAATAAGAAATTAATTTTTTTTTTTGCATATCCTGACATTTATAAATAGTATAAATATATATATCTTTGTGTTTAAAATATGTCCTATCAAAAACAAATCATCCACACTAGGACTGGGTTTATATATGAGAGATCAATATTTCATGGTCCGGTCTCAAAGAGTTATCAAAATTTAAAATTAAAACGTCTGAATTTACAATTTATCCCTATTACCACTTGAACTAACTTTTGGGATTAAGACATATGTTATTTACGTGGTCAAAGATGAACCTCCGACATGTTATTTCTCGAATATAAACTCGAATGTCAATGATGACATGTGTACGTCGTTGAATTTTATGTGATAAGGTTTAAATTTTATTTCTACAAATTAAATCTCCTAAATCTTCTCTGACTTTAGTCATGTGTTCCTTTTTGACAAATATTTATCCTTCGTAATTTATCTAAAACCTCTTCATTTCTCGAAGATTATGTGATTTTAAGTTCACTAATTTTCTGCTAAATTTGCAAAGACCAATTTTGTGGACCATGAATACCAACTAATCACATCCATTTCTAAATTTGAAAGGAAGTTGGTGGTTCATGACAAACACCAGGCTAAAATGAGAAAAAAGAAACACACTTCATGCCACAGTAACTCAACCCTGAAAAAGTCTGGTCCTTGTGAGAGAAACACCATTTGTCAACCTTAAAGATCTTCTGAAAAGTCATATGTTGAACATTTTTTTACCAGACAACTACCTTTCAAAAACCTTAGGAATTTTCCTTCAAATTTACATGTTAATTTCCTAACAGTACTATAGACAATGACTCACCCATGTTGATTAGAGTTTTAATATTGATGAAGTCAATCAATCTTCTGCAATACAAATACCATGAACTTCCAGGAAATTGAGGGTAAGCTTTGTATATTTCTTTCTTCAGCATTTATATTTTCTCTTTTTTATGTGAAAGAAGAATACCCTTTTCGAAACAACATAATTGTTGATGTCATTGTAAATTATAATGTTGTTGTAGAGATTTTCTCGTTTTTTTTTATTTGAACATAGAGATTTCTCATTAAAAAAGACATATTAAAACATTATCACGAAACACAGTTAGACTTCTTCTAACATCGGTGTTTTTTTTTTATTCGCCTTATTTTTTGTGTCATGAAATGTCAAAATCATAAATTGAAAGAAATCTCAATTTATTTTCCAGATATGAACTACATAAAGGTTTGTTTTTATTGGTTATTTATTTATTTATTGCTAAAAACAACAAGATAATCCTTTTTTTGGTAAATAAAAAACGAACACCGTTTCTTTTTCTTTTTTTTTTTAAAGCATCTTCAATAGAATGGTTAAAACTCTAAAACAGCTAAAATTTAGTTATTCAACGTCAAAAAACATATTCCAACAGAAAATGTTCAGAGTAAGTAATATAAAACATCATTGTAGCATTATGTATAAAATAGTTTATAATATATTCTCTCTCTCTCTCTCTCTCTCTCCCTTTAATAGTCCCAACAAATGTACAAGATATGAGAAATAATATTTAAAAAAAGTAATTAAAATATAAAAAATCCATTGGAGTATATATTGAAAAAGTAAGTATCTAAAATAGAAAAATTATACTTTTGAATAGTTAAAATACAAAACTTCGTTGAAGATGCTCTTACATCATTCTAGCATGTTAACCAACTATCCTACAAAGGTTTTATGTTCTAAGAGTTCTTGAAAACTTCTCATATAAAACAACATCTTTACAGGTAGGGTAACGTTACGTTACCCTTTTATAACCTTCTTGTAAGTGCAAGATAATGCGACTATCATGCTATCTTTTTCTAATTTAAGGATAGATAATTATAGAGAACTAACAATTTATGACAAGACACTTAAGAGTATCATTCTTAGTAAACGGTGCCTTTGTTCTTCAACAAAGTAAATATATATTTTTTTAATGTTTCTAGCTTTTGTTTGTTAGCCATCTGACAAGCACATAGAAATATAGAATTCCAATGTATCACTAACGATTGAATCATACCACCATAAAGGTGGTCCAGAGGCTGAAGGTAATGACAGTGTTACACAGGACCACACTCTGTTTTGTTGTGCAGCATTGTTATTTCACTTGGGACAGCATTGTTATTGCCTCACCAATATTGTACTGGTTGTCACATAGTAATGTTTATAGCCAGCAAGTTGGTTCAGTGATTTAACAAGAGAGAAATCTACGGTACCGAAAAGTATCGTACCATTATTACAAGTTTTGTGATTAATTTTTATAATTTTTAGGTGTCATTTACAATTTTTATGAATTAAGTTACAATTTTTTGTGATTTTTAGGTTTGATTTTCAAAGACCCACAAAAATCACAGCTTAAACCATAAAAATTGTAATACAACTTCCAAAGTTATTAATTTTTTTGTCTTAAACAAACCTAAAACATTGTATTTTGAGCCACAAAATTTGTAAAATTTGGGGGTACGGTATCAAATTTTTTTGTTCAGTACCGTAGTCTTCTCAAGATACGAGACATAAATTTACCCACACGGTTCACCGGGAATTAAGTATATCTATAGTTTAATTGATAATAAGAGATTTTTTAAACCTCCCTTAATTGAACACTTAATATAATAATAAATTACTTCCAAATGATATACTTTAAACAACTTGATTCTAGTGTTGTAGTTTTTGTTTCAATCCATTTTTATTATTCAATCAGACAAATTATTGAAATTATGTACCTTAAGGAAGGAAAGATTAAATGAGATAGAGAGAAAATTTTAAAAAAAAATTATTCGAGAGAAAATCTTAGCAATTACATTTAACTATAAATTACACAAAAAATGTCCATTTTCATGGAGAATTTAAGCATCACATAGACATATAGATGTCTCTTTCTTGTTCTCAAGGAGGGCAACGAAGCATAGAAATAGATCACACTGTTGATATTTAGCTTCTCGATATTTGAATAAGCGATAAGCATTATTAAATATTCCATTGATCTTTTTGAGTTATTATATGATGGATTAAGGACACCATTTGTTCATGCAAATAAATATTAGGGTGTATTGTATTTTACACCCTTAAAAATTTAAGAATTTTAATTTATTTATTCAAAAATTAGATTTCTTATATTATATTTTCAATGTATTACAAATGTTATAATGTGATTATTTCGTTATTTTTTGTTACTCATTCTATTAACCTCAATAGGGTGGATTTTGACAAGATAAGTAACAGAAGCTAACGGAACGGTTATATTATAATATTTTTAATACATTCAAGGTATAATATAAAGAATTTCATTTTTGAGGGTATAAAATGAGAAAACTTAAATCTTTTGGGGCTCAAAGTGAGATTTTCCCTAACTAAGAGGAAAACCCATTGGCGAGTAGCATCCTTTATTATACTCTCGAAAGTACAACGTAGTATTCCCCTTGTGGAATGTAAACGTTAACGAACAAGACTGTAAGAAGTTTTACTGACCGAAAAATATATTCAAACGTTGCGTGCGGGGAAACGTCACTTGTCCCAAGGAACGAGTCTCAGAACTCAAAAACACACACCACAACACAATCAAAACATTATTTTACTTTCAAAAAACACAAAACAAAAATACCAAAAAGCCAAAACAAGAAGAGCTAGGATTACAATATTGTTATAATCTGTCTGTTAGTGCAGAGGGTGAAATTGTGTGAAAAAATTGTTCAGATTGCGGCAAAGGTTGTGCATGGACCTCTTCAGTAGGGACACAGTGAGTGTTTCTTTCTTTCTTTCAATTCTATGAGATGGGTTTTGCTCTGGCTCTCAAGGGTACTTCTTGTGTAATTCATTTTGAGCCAAATAAAAAAAAACTTGTTCAATTTGGAGATAGGTAAAGACAATATGTTTGAATATTAAAAGTGGGTATCTCCTTTTTGGCTTATTTTGTTTTTGTTCTATTGCGCCTTTTTTTTTGTATTTTATTTTTCATTGGAAAGAGATGCTTTGTCGGAAATCTGAAATGGGTTTTTGATTTTGGTTACTTTTATTGCTGATGTAAGGAAAAAATAGAGTTTTCTGGAAGGACCAGTCTAAGGTTTGAGATGATATGGTTGGTGGATGGGAAATTTGAAATGGGGATATTTTTGTTTCACTGTACATGTCCAAAAGCTTGATTACTGTGATGTTTGTTCTAAAATCCATTTGAAATAAGAAAGGTAGCACTCAATGAAAAATGGGTGATTGAAATTGGTGATTTTGTTGCTAACTATGAAATGAGGTCTATCTAACTTTTTCTGCCTTGGGTTTTGAATGCTTTGATGGATGATTTGAATTTGAAAGATGGTAAATGGGAAAACTCAGGAATAATCTGCATTCGTTTTTGTTCTGCTTACTTTGTTTAAAAATGCAGATTGTTAGGTTGAGGGATGGTGGAGGGATCGGATTGATTATTGCTGTTGTTGTTGGGCCATCACTGTGTTGTAGTTGTTTCTCGTTATATAATGCAATTTTAAGGGAATCGTCCCTCATATGGTAATGTTAATTATTGGGATGATGGGTTGCTATAAACTATAACTTGTGATTTTTTATTTTTTATTTTTTGGAACAGAAAAACATTTCCAGTATGTGATTTCAATTTTGAAAATCTGATGTGCAACCCCCTCTTTGGGTTTTCGTCATGGATTGACTATCAATTTTTTGGAAAATGTTGCTTTCGGATTTCATGTTTCAATGGCATTGCAAAATGGTGAAGTCAAACCATAAAATGAAAATCAGCTCAGCACTTTGGTTTGTTTTTGAATGTTTTGTCTTTGTATACACATTGCTTATTAGAGAACAAACAAAACATTTTGTCATGCAGAAAGTTTTGAGGGCACAAAGAACTGGAATCCTACAATAAACTGGAGATAATGTGATTAAAAATACTACTGAGCAATAAAACATTTGAGAATGGAGATCTGTTTATTACTATATCTTATAAGAATTAAGAATTCCTTTCTTTGGAAAAGAAAAGCTCATAATCTATTTTTGATACTTTAGATGGTTGGTGAGAGAATCTATTCTTGTCCTGGTTAGTCTAATAGTCTAACAAACTCCTCACCAAAAGAGAGAAAAAAAAAGAAATCGAGAATTGTAGAATCCGTCTTGATGTTAGAGCTGATAAATAAAGTAGGTACATAGGTTCCTACTCCGAACTCATTTACTGGCCTCATTTTGCGGATGTGCTTGTCTTTTCCACTGGAAGTTAACTCGGGGTGTACAAGAACCCGAATTTGTTATATTTTGTGTATTATTTGTATGTTCTTAACTCTGTTTTCACATTTTGTTTGGCATACTATAGGTGCCTGCAGAAAAGTTCAACTAAGCGATGGTGTTAAATCTCAGCCTTTGAACTGGCGGACTTATTAGATTTCTGGATTAGCGATGGCTCCTGGAGGCGGTGTTTGCAAAGTTGTTGAATCGCACCCAAAATATGCAAATTATGATATAACTGCAGCAAAAGCAGAGAAAAGAAGTACTCAAATTAAATCTAATAGTGGGTGGGGTGAAAAGCATGGAATGCCTTCAACCAATGGTGTGCATGAGCTTCTTGAGTGCCCTGTTTGCAAAAATTTAATGTACCCTCCAATTCACCAGGTATGTATAAACTTCGATTTTGGACTTCCATGTTTTTCCGACAGACAACTGTACATGGAAAAATATCATGCCACCAGATTTTTCATAGGATTTGGATTTGCTATATTTTGTAGCATTTGAAATAATTAAGTAAATTATATGGCCCCTTAGAGATCTTATTTCTTTTCTTACTCTTCAAGATTGTTGTTGTCATCATTACTAACAGTAACATGCTTCCTATTTTACCTTAAAAATGCTTTGGAAACAAAAATAGTTGACAATAATTCTCCAAAATTGCAGCTTATTCCATATATGTTAAATGGAGATTGTTTTTCATGATCTTAGTTAGTATTTACTACTGATGACCAAATCAGTCTGGCAGCTCTTGCTTTTGGGTCAAGGATAACTCCACATATTCTTTTTTTTTTTTTGAAACGCCACATATTCATATTTGGCTTTTTGTTGCTTGCCATTGTTTCATTTCTTCATCAATTCTTTGTCTCCTTACAAAAGGTATCCTTAAATAGAATACATGACTTTATCATATATTACTCATATGCGTAGGATTTTTTCGTTTGCATAAGTTAGTTGACCCTTTTAGCGCATTGGTTTTTTTTGTTTTTGTGATGATCTCCTTCCACCAATATGAGACACAATTATAGGGATTGTGAACTTTTTAGGGTGTTTAATCTACAGATTTACGACACCTTTCAGTGATTGAGATGGGTGGTTGTTTTTTTCTGCCATGCATTTATTTTGAAACTTCCTTGTGATTTGTGAATGACTTGAGTTACTTCCTAATTTACTCGAGTAAAATCCATAAGGAGTGCAAAATATATGCCTGCGAAGGTGAAAGATATTTTTTATTAGATGTGGCATCATAAGTCCTTATCCCGACCACCTGACTGTCCAGTTGAGAATGAGCAGATAATAGGCAAGTCTTTGTACAACCAGCCTTGGCCTCCTAATTTTTCCACCAAGTAATCTGTTGAGTTTGATGTGGACTGTTGAAAAATAAGGACCAAGTATGCACCTTTACAATTTATGAGCGTGCATTGTTTGGAGAGGCTGTGGAGGTTTGCCGGGGATAGAATAGCTTAAGGCAGAGAATTTCTGAAGTTCTCTTACTCTTGAAGGAGTGATATGATAGATGTAAGCAGTAAGCAATATATGCATGTTTAAGGTTTTCAGGGGAAGCACAATGAGATTTTTTGATTTGGCTAGTGAAATATGTATCATAACGGGCTATGCTTGTAGAGTGTTCTCATGGCATGACAATTCGTATGCCGATATTCCAAGAATAACAGAAAGTTTGCTTCACCATCGTATCATTGCCTCTGTATTAGTCGAAACCAAGTCATCAATTAGTCCTTGGATTCATGCCTTCAATGTTTGTGGTCTTTTATAGTATATTTGCATGTTTTTTTTCTTTATTTCATTCTTTATGCAAGCCCTAATTCCATGGTAACAATGTTTGAACTGAATCTATATGTATTTTTCTGGTCAAAGATGTGAACATAATGGTTATGCAATGGTTTACTTGTGTTTTATTTCTTTCATGTATTTCCCAAATAGCCGCTCTCATACTCAAGCTGCAAATTTATCATCCTTTCACATTGTTTATTTCCTTTCTATGTAGTGTCCAAATGGCCACACTTTATGCTCAAGCTGCAAATTTAGAGTGCATAACTGTTGCCCAACTTGCCACCTTGAGCTTGGAAATATAAGGTGCTTGGCTTTGGAGAAAGTGGCCGAGTCATTGGAGCTCCCTTGCAGATATCAAAGTCTTGGCTGCTATGATACTTTTCCATACTTCAGCAAGCTCAAGCATGAACAACACTGCCGATTTCGCCCTTATAATTGTCCTTATGCTGGATCTGAGTGCTCTGTAATGGCGGACATCCCAACCATTGTGTCACATCTCAAGGAGGATCATCAGGTTGACTTGCATGATGGGTGTACCTTTAACCACCGATATGTGAAATCAAAACCACATGAAGTTGAAAACGCAACATGGATGCTAACCGTAAGTTGATTTAAAAAACCTGTTCTTCATTCATTTATGGCATCTTGGAAGCGCATGGAAATGGAAGCATTTTGGATAACACTTTATACTTGCAAAAAGGAACTGCTTTTTCATGGGATCGATTTTATTAATTTATCCTAGATGATTTTATCATTTGGTTTTCTTTTGGAGAAAAGAGGGTGATTGTTGCTATGATATTGAAATCTTTGGTCTTTTATCACCGCAGTTGAAGACCACACAAACCAGAGCAATTCATGTTTATTAAAATGTTCCGAAGTTTGATTAACAATTTGTGATCATAGCTTGGTGGTGGAGAGGAACAGCTATTGTAAATAAAGAAAAAGTTATTCTGGGTCAACTGAACTGAAATTTAATCACATAATGTTTTACGTTGGGAAAAAAAGCTCTCATACTCATCCACTAACATATAGGAGGTCTTTTGTGTGTGCTCCACTTCAGACCCTAAACCAATTTCATAACCCAGTTGCCTGACCTCTAATTGATTTGCATGATAAGGGTTTTTCTCAGTATGTAACTGTTCTTCTTTTCCAAAATGCTTACTCAAATAAAAATTTACTTTTACAAGTTATAAAAACCTAACATATTTGCTCTAGCTCTAAGATGTAAGATGCGCTGTGAATCTTTTATCCCATGCAGGTGTTTAACTGTTTTGGAAGACAGTTCTGCTTGCACTTTGAGGCTTTCCAGCTTGGCATGGCACCAGTCTACATGGCCTTCTTACGGTTCATGGGTGAGGATAGCGAGGCAAAAAAGTTCAGCTACACTTTGGAAGTTGGCGCATATGACCGTAAGTTGACATGGCAAGGAGTTCCAAGAAGCATCCGCTACAGCCACAGGAAAGTTCGTGACAGTCAAGATGGGCTTCTCATCCCTAGGCACTTGGCTCTGTTCTTCTCGGGTGGGGATAGGCAAGAGCTCAAGTTGAGGATCACTGGCCGCATATGGAAAGGGCAGTAACTCGAGACATGTTAGTTATCTTGTTGATTGTACAGTTTATCAAGATTATGGAAGGCCTGTTGGAGCTCCAGGTCTGTAGGAAGTCTTCAATCGAAAGTATATGAAGACTATTGAAATTCATTCTCCGTTTGATGTTCTCTTATTAGATTCTCAATGTGATCCTAATGTTTATCCCTGTGGGTGTGGACCGTGATTAGGTTGTTTCTTCTTTCGCCATTGGCCAATTTCTATGTTGGTTTACAAAACTGGAAAACTCTGATGAATGAATTATAATGGAAGAATTCTGAATCGGGGCTACATAACTATTCTATAAGAATCATGCAGCAGAGACGATATATTTCCTGCTTTTGTTTGTTTCTTTTCTTTGCAATTACAGGTTTGGCAAATTGCTGCTTTGGTTAGGGGCAGGATGTGATCGCGACTCTACCGTGTTGAAAGGCTGAAGAACAGTCCTTTACTGACGCTTGCAAGTGAAAAAAGATGTCAATATTGCAGGACATTGCATTTGCCCATGTTTCTTGCTTGTCTGAAGTTTCATAATTCATGTGCTTACTTACTTTTGTGTTAAACCTCACAATGCAAAGGGCAGAAATTATGACAATAAGAACAGGCAAATGAATAGAATCTTTGTTGATACAGACAGATGAACTAGTTCAATCCAATACGTTTCATTTAACAGATGCTCCAGCTTGGTTCAGTTGTGACTGATTGAGCTCGAGCACGAGCCGAGCATAGCTATTAAGCTCAAATTCTTGCTTAAGCTCGACTTGGTATGAGCTTGCTAGCATTCAAGTCGAACTCGAGCTAAAAATAAGTGTTTTTAACCAAATATCTCCCAAAATATATATAATCAACCATAAAATCAAACTGAGTTATTTTGGGATAATTTTGGTTTTTTTTAATCTTTCAAATAAAGATTGTCCAGTTGTAGATATAGAATTATTTATAAATAGGAATCTCTTTTAGCGAAACCAAGTCACACGTTGTTTGCATTGAACTAATTTATATGACAAGTTTAAAATTTGATCAAATTTTGTTCTTTTTGTAATTTGAACGTGCCTCAATGATACAAAGTTGAGCTAAGCCTAAGACGAATTCAAATTGCTTAGATTGTTTAACAACACTACCTATGCTCCAAAGGTTTAAACCTTAATAGATTGTTAGATAAGAATGTTGTGAGAATTCTCGTAAAAAAAGATGTGAATTGAAAATTGAGATATTCTTCATTACACTTTTATTCAATTTTACTTAATAATAAATAATCTATCATGGATTAAAGTAAAACCCACTATTTGTAAATGAACTTTCATCCATGGTGGATGATTTACAAATAATACGTTGATGGTAGTCAAGCCAAAATTGATGAGGTCCAAGTTGGATGCCAACCATCGTTTTTGATTTGTGCGTATCGACAAAGATGCCAACCACCAATTGGAGCATTTTCTAATCTTGTGACATATTGACCGTCCAATGCAGGGGTGGCCTAACCTAAACGGGGGCCTTAGGCGATAATTTTACCCAAGGCCTTATTAATATTAACATATTGAATGTTTTTTAATTATCATAATTTAATATTTTATTATTTTAAAATTATTTTTCTTATTTTTTGAAATGCAAAAAAAAAAAGAAAAAATTAATCAAGTATTATCAATAAAATTTTCTCAATCAATTATTGTTAATTCATTCAAATTTTGTTGTGACTATTGTTAAGAAAATTTGATTAGCAATGAACGTATTCAGGAACCAAGATTTAGTCTTCTTATGTACTTTAGTATTTCAATTGAAATGTTAGTTTCAATTTTTAATTTTTTAAAAAAATTTCAATTCTAAAAATAAAATTAAGCCTTCAATATTGACACATATATCATAAATGAAGCATTTAATAATAAATATTTATTCTATGCAATGGACAAAAAATATACGCACTTAAAAATTATATAAGATAGAATATAAAAAAAATTATTTATTTTGCTTTGTAAGTACTAAAGATTATTCGTATAAGATTTAGGAGTGAACGGGTAGCACAAAGGTGCATTCAATGAGAGAGAGAGAGCCGTTCAAGAGATTATTTTTTTTGGGATAAAAAAATATAAATAATCATGATATAAAATAAAAAACTACTAGGGTTTTATTGGGCTTAATTAAATGAAGATAATCTTTTGGGCCGGCCTTGATCCGATGAGAAAAAACGGTGCACTAGTTGTATGATAAGTGTGTAGGACGTGCAACATAAAGGGGGACACACGGACATGAGTTAGTTTTAGTGGTTAAAACCTGCGTAGCGACTTTCCCGCTAAACATAAGAAATTAATGCCTATGCCTTTCCCAAGGAGAGAGAGTGAGAGAGGGAGTAGGAGAGAGAGAGAGAGACAAACAGGGCTCTTCTTCCTCGCTTTTTCAAATTCTTCTCTCTCTCATCTCACCTCCTTGTCTTCCTTCAGATTCATTTCCCATCTATTTTTCCTCGTTGGATCATTTAGATTTCTAATTCATGGTACGTGACAATCTTTTAATATCTCGTACTTTGTTATAATGATTAATTTTTCTTAGTATTCTCGCGTTTCGTCGAATCTAAATTTATGGGTTTTTGTTTGTTCTTTTTTTTTTTTTTTTAAATTTGAAGCTTATGATATCAATTTTTGTACAACAAATGATCTTTTGATTCCCTCCGATGTAATTGTTTATTAAATTGTGACAACATTGAATCTGATTACATTGATTTTGATGGAAATTTGCAAGTCTTAATGCCTTGCAGGAATTCTGATTTGGGTAAAAATACATTTTTTTCGAGCATTGACATGTTCTCGTGAGTTTTGCTGTGCAATACCAAATTGAAACTATGTTCTGCTGCGGAGGTGCAGAAGAAGATATCTCGGGTGGTCCGCCTCCAAACCAGTATACAGCTCCACCAAGAGGGGGAAATCCATACGGTGGCGGTGTTGGTACATCTCTTTCCTTGTTTCTTGTTCGACATGTTCTTGCATTCGCTTTCATTATATTTGGTGTTTATCACATCCTTTAGCATAGCTGTTCGAAATAAATTCATAGGATATGTGATGACTTTGTTGTGAATTTTACCCATTGTGTTGGCTAATATCAATTTGGCTCTAGCATGTGATCGCTGAGAGCCATTTCATAAGCAGGAGCACGAGAATTTGATGTTCTCGTGCTCCTTACTTTACAACAAGTTTGTACCCGACCACGCTTTCCTCCTCCTACCATGTTCAGGTCGTACTAATTCCATTGTATGGCGCTTGATCATACAATTGTGTAGCCTTTTGAAGTCTTAATCTCAACATATCCTCGAGTGATTTAAGGTTTTTGGGGGTCTATGTAGTTATGTAACTAGAAACCATGTCCATGCTTTCTCTTGCATATTCTTTGTACTGGTAAAGCATCGAAGGCAAAGAACTTGAGATGACGACACAGTGTGCCAAGGTTTATCACTTCAAATCCCCGTTGTTTAATTCGAGTTTTACAATGCCTATATACCTTATATCGTTGGATAAGTCGATTTCATGGGGCTAATGAATCATGAGATGTCTTAGCATTCTCAAAGGTGGGAGATTAACAGCCGATCTCCCATCTCATGATTCTTGTTATCTCCAATTCGGTATTCTAAAATGAACAAAGGCCTGTTATACCTAACGCGTCCTGGTTGTAAATTGTCCATAAACGTGATCAAAGCCAAACACTCTGCATAAGTTGGTTCACTACTTCTCGTATCAATTACTGCAGGTTTTTGTCATGCTTGTAATGCAATTTTGCATTCTTCAATTTAGGCAGTCAAAGAGGAGATCAGCCAAGGACTTCTGGTGCTGCAAGAAGTGGAGCTCCTCAGAAAGTTCTGCCTATCGAAATACCAGCCTTGTCATTGGATGAGTTAAACCGATTGACTGGTAACTTTGGGTCAAAAGCTTTAATCGGAGAAGGTTCTTATGGACGCGTTTTCTATGCAAAGTTAAGCGATGGCCAGGAAGCAGCAATAAAGAAGCTGGACATCAGTTCTTCACAAGAGCCAGACACTGATTTTGCAGCTCAGGTGAACATTTTGGGCATTATCTTTCCTGGAAAACAACATATATGATAACATTTCGATTTCCTACATAATTTGTGAATTGAATACTGGTGGCCATTGCAGTTATCGATTGTTTCAAGGCTTAAGAACGAGCATTTTGTGGGTTTGCTTGGTTATTGCTTGGAGGCAGATAATCATATTTTGGCATATCAGTATGCATCAAAGGGCTCTTTACATGATGTTTTACATGGTATGCGTACAACCACATTAAAATTTGGAAATATTTCTGTGTATAGTATCGGAGTATATGGTTGAAAAAAGGTCTTTTTGTGTACAGGGAGGAAGGGTGTACAAGGGTCTGAACCTGGTCCAGTACTAAGTTGGAACCAGAGAGTTAAAATCGCTTATGGTGCAGCAAAAGGCCTTGACTATCTACACGAGAAGGTTCAGCCTCCTATAGTTCATCGGGATGTCAGATCCAGCAATGTCCTACTGTTTGATGATTTTCTAGCAAAACTTGCTGATTTTAGCTTGACAAATCAGTCCTCGGACACAGCAGCTAGACTGCATTCGACTAGAGTCTTGGGTACATTTGGCTACCATGCTCCTGAGTAAGACTTACATTTTTCCCTCCTGAATTTGAAGAAGAACTTCAAAGTTTGTCATCCTAGATATATCATTATAGTTAACCTCTCCATTCGTTTTGCCCAATTTATTTATAACTTATTGACTAACCAAGATTCTCGCTCACCTTGTCAATAAGGGCACATTCTGCTCTATCAGGCATCCATGTTGCATTTTAGACAAGCCTTTCTAGAGTTTTTGCATTTTTAGTCCTATCGGGCCAATAGTAAACCTTGTCCTTGCAATCTTTTGTTGAGGGTCCATCTTCAATAGTTGCAATCGGTTCTATCTCATCAGGAATATCTTCAAAAATCTAGTTTTCTGTAGTCTAAGGATGTCAAGGTGAGCGACATTGGACCATTCTTCACTAACATTACTTTCTTGGCTTTCTGTTTAGGTATGCCATGACAGGGCAGATAACTCAAAAGAGTGATGTTTACAGTTTTGGAGTAGTTCTTCTAGAGCTTTTGACAGGAAGGAAACCAGTAGATCATACAATGCCCAAAGGACAACAGAGTCTTGTTACTTGGGTGTGTTTTTATTACGATGTTCTAAATCTCTCTCGCCTCGTCCACTAATATAGCTTAGTCAGTGCTAATTCATGTTCTAAATTACTACAGGCAACTCCAAGACTAAGCGAAGACAAAGTGAAGCAATGTGTGGATCCCAAGCTAAACAACGATTTCCCACCAAAGGCAATTGCTAAGGTTCTCTTCATAACCCCTTTTATAACATTATTTCTTTTCTTATACAAGTTTTGTGCAGGTTTGCATTCTGCTTTAGTTAAAAAAACTTAAGTTAACAACCACCTTTAAGAGGTAAGATCACAAACAACTGATCTTTTGGATAATCCCACGATGGTGCGAGTCTCGTTCAGTGGATTTAGATTTTAAGACATTACTAAAATTGTGTTTTTTTTCGTCAAAAGTAGTCTGATTATTTTTTCATGCATTGTATCAGATGGCAGCAGTTGCAGCACTGTGTGTTCAATATGAAGCAGACTTCCGGCCAAATATGACGATCGTCGTGAAGGCGTTGCAGCCGCTTCTCAACTCAAAACCGGCAGGGCCAGAGTCTCATGCATAGTTTGTGTTAGCTCAAAACAATCCAGATTAGGGTTATGTATCTTCTTAAGCTTCAAATTGTGCAACTCAAGTTACTGTTTGAAATGTTCTTCTCTGAAACAGGGCATTCTTAGAATCATAGTTACAAGTATGCCAGTCAATCGTGTCGGGTGAAGCGTGTTGATGTCAAAAAATACTTTACTCATACTCGATTTGTTTATTAATTCATGTCATATTAAATTCCCAAGTATATAAAATTCTTGGCCAGAGACTATGGAATGATTTCAGGTTAAAGTTGTCTTTCTATTCGTCTTAATGACAATCAATGGTTTGTTCCTTGTTTTGAGATGATGGAACAAAATGAAGAACCATTTTTTTTTATCAATCAACAAAGCATCATAATCTTTAATTAAGTTGGAAAATTCGAGTTACGATCAGTCATAATGAAAGCCTTAAGCTCGGGTGGGGGGGAGCCTAACCAATTTGGCGGGAGCAAATTGTTTAGTGTAGCGGCTGCCACCCAATGAACTGCCTTGTTACAAGTCCTAGACTTGTGTAGAAAGCTAAGATTATATACCCTAGCAAAATATCTAATGTCACTAATAATTACACTTACTTCCCAAGGGGGATCCTCTTCGTTTGAGCACAGATGTTCAAACAATCACTGAGAATTGTAGCCTTAATAAGCAGTTGGGCGTCAGCCAGAATACACGCTTGTCTCACTGCTTCTACCTCTGCAAGTAGACTCAATCTAGCAGGGAAACACTTAGCACTACCACCAACAATCTCTCCCCTTTCCTTGCACGCCACCACACCACAGGCAGCATTGGCAGAATTTGGTTTGAAGGCTCCATCACAGCATATAATAACCTTTGCCTCTGTTTCCTGTCTAGTTGCCTCCCTTGTCGCTAAACCTCCATGGCCCTTCATCGTAACCTTTAAGCCACATCTCAAAAGATCACACCACATACCATGTGCACGGATGACTGTGGCCAAGGCGTTAACTTCTTCTCCGTTAAAAATGAAGTGGTTCCCCGCCTTCCAAATAGTCCAGCCCACAGTTGCCATCTTCCCCAAGACCTCCAGACTACCATTAGCATCCTTCACCATTTGCAAGGCCATAGAGGATCTATTAGCCACCAACATAAATGGAGATGCCCCCCCAGTGGACACTGAGGTCTAGGCCGAACCAAACTCTAGAGGTCCATTCACACTTAAACAACAGATGTTCAATGGATTTAGGAGCAAGGTTACAAATTTGGCAAATGGGGGAAGGTGTGCACTTCCTTTTAAAGAGGTTTTCATGAGTGGCCAAAGAGTTATGGCATGCTTTCCACCATAAATGTTTTACATTTGGCATGGCTTTCATATTCCAGATACACTTCCACAGACTAGGGCTGGAGGGATTAGAGGAGCTTGCTTTTGCGAATTCGGGGCATTCTTAAGCCCCAGTCTGTACCCTGACTTAACAATGAAAACACCCTTACAGTTAGGCCACCAAATTCTCTTATCTTCCCCCCCTTTTGCTGGTAAAGGGATGGCATGAATCGCTCTAACCTACTCGTGTGAAACCAGAGTGGATAAGGAAGCAAAATTCCATCCATAGGGGCACTCCGAAATGATATAAGCAACCTTGATGATATTGCAGTCGTGGGGCTTGGGAGAATGAAGTTCCAGTCCAGGGAGACAAGGAATCCATTTATCTTCCCAAAAATTAACTAACTCCCCATTCCCTATCTGCCACATGATTCCTTGGGCCAACAAATCTCTCCCATACAGAAGACTCCTCCAAACCCATGAAGGTCTTGATCCACATTTTGCTTTCATAAAGTCGGTATCAGGGAAGTAAATTGCCTTCATAAGTTTGGCCCAGAATAACTCGGGTTGATTAATCAGCCTCCAACATTGCTTTGCCAACAAAGCCTGGTTGAACAACTTAAAATCCTTGAACCTCATCCCTCCATCTGCTTTGGCCTCAATCATTCTGTCCCATTTCTTCCAGCAAATGCCACTCCCAACCTCGTTACCTTTCCACTAGAAATTCCTCACATAACTGTTCAGCTTATCGCAAAAATTTTTTGGAAATGCAACAACCGACATAGCATAGTTTGGGATTGCTTGGATAACTTACTTTGATCATAACTTCTTTACTAGCCTGAGAAAGGCAGCTGCTCTTCCACCCTTTAAGTTTTTTCGCAATTCTTTCAAGCAAGTAATCAAAGATATCTTTCCTTGAGCTCCCCCAGACAATCGGAATACCCAAGTACTTAGCACAATGAGGCAGTGGTTGCATTCCCAGAAGTTGACAGAAAGTGCTCTTCTGCTCCTCAGTAGTATTACTGGAGAAAATGACACCAAACTTATTATAATTAGCACACTGCCCAGACGCCTCACAGTACTTCTGTAGAATCTGCATCAGCTCCCTAATGCCCCCTTCTTTTGCTTTGATAAAGAACAGTGAATCATCCGCAAAAAATAAGTGATAAATAGTAGGACTTCTTCGTTTGATCTTAATACCTGACAGCTTCCTCTCCTCAGCACCTTTCGATATCATAATCGATAGCACATCCGCAACAATTATAAACAGATAAGGGGATAACAGGTCTCCCTGCCTAATTCCTCGTTGAGGCTTAATATCATAGACTTTTTTCCCATTCAAAACAAACTGCAGGGAAACAGTGCTAACACACTGCATTATGAGCCCAACCCATCTTCTGTCAAAGCCTAGTTTTAGCATAGTGGCTTCCAGGAAATCCCACTCCACTCTATCGTAGGCCTTACTAATGTTCATATTTATTGCCAGTTCTGGAACCCTACCCTTTTTCTTACCTTTAAGGTGGTGGAAGACTCCATTAGCAACTATAATACTATCCTGTATTTGTCTGTTGGAAATAAAGACCGCCTGATTTGGGGAAACCAAAGATCCCATCATTCTCTTCATCCTGTTTGCCAGTACCTTTGAGATGATCTTGTATAAGAAGTTACAAAGAGCAATAGGTCTAAATTGAGTAATGGATTCGGGTGCAGCCTCCTTAGGAATGAGGACGACATTGGTGATATTGAGCTCCTTCTTCATCAGGCCCTCCTCAAAGAAGGCCTTTGCCAAATGGTATACATCATGTCTCACAATGTGCCAAAACTTGTGAAAGAAAATTCCCGGAAACCCATCGGGCCCCGAGGCTTTAAGGGCACCCAGCTCACTGACAGCTTCATGTACTTCAGCCTCCGAAATTGCCCTTAACAGCTCATTGTTCATGTCCTCAATGACTTTACACTCCATAGCACTCGATGCTTTAAACCAGTCCCTATCACCAACGGAATTGAATAAAAACCCAAAGTAATCACTAATGTGGTCCATAATCTCCTCCTCCCCCTCTATCCAGTCACCACATTCAGCTTTGAGTCTGAGAATTTGATTGCGGTTCCTTCTCTGAATTGCAGTCAAATGGAAAAACCTCGTATTTTGGTCCCCATCTTTCAACCAATTTAACTCTTGAACGTTGCAGCCAGAACTTCTCCTCTCTACATTTGTGGGAGTCAATTTGGGAACATATCTCTGGCTCCCTAACAAGATTTTCTTCAGTGGGCTCCTGTTGCTGAACCTGGATTAGTTCATCACCCAGCTCCTGGATGATCTTCTTGTTGTTCCCAAACTTTTTCTTGCTCCAAATAGACAGTCGTTTCCTGCATCTATCAAGATTAACAATGGCATTACCGCGTCGTAGAATTTGGGAGTCTCGAGGTCCAGCAATCCTTGATTACCTCTTCACATTCGGGATCCTGTAACCACATACTTTCAAATTTAAAACAAAATGGCCCCCTCTTGGTATTAAGACCAAGATCAATGACAATAGGGCAACGGTCAGACCCCATTATGCCTTCATGGATCACTTGCGTGAAGGGGAAAAGGGCATTCCAATTGGGGTTGACTAGGACTTTGTCTAGGCGTTCTTGTACAATTACAGTACTTGGCCAATTATTTTACCAAGTAAATTTGGGTCCGCAAAAGTTTAGCTCCATGAGACAACAATCGAAAATTAATCCTTGCATCTCCTCAACTTTAGAAATGCTGCTGGCTAAACTGCCTTCCTTCTCATCCAAGGCCCCAATAACGTTAAAATCTCCAACAACAATCCAGGGTGAATCCAAGGACCTGACCATTCATTTTAATCTCTCCCAAGTCCTCTTCCTCATCTCATACTTCGTATCAGCATAAATAAACGTGCATTGCCACCACTCCTGATGTTGAGGAAGGTAGCACCTTACATTAATCATATTCTTGGTTGTTTCCTTCACCTGAAGATTGAACCCCTCTTTCCACCAGAGTGCAAGACCACCAGACATTCCCACTGGGTCAACATATTCACAGAAATGAAAATTCAGAGATTTTCTCAATCTCTCCAGCTTATGGGACTTATTTTTAGTCTCCATAAGGAAGACAACTAAGGGATGATGGGTATTAATAAGCCCTCGCAAATTGCAGACTGTCCGGGGTCGTCCCACTACATGACAGTTCCAACTGAGCATTAACATGAGTCGTGTGGCTGTTTGAGGTCAGCCACCACCACCACCTTATCTGATTTGCAAACTGCATCATTCTCATCTAGTATCCCTATAGAAGGGTATCCCTTATCTGCTATCCATTGAGATATACAATAGTTAAGATTGTTCTCTCCTCTCTCTTCAATAGGGACATTGTTTCCCTCCTCTTGGATTTGGTGATACTGTCCTTCTGCATTTTCCATGACATCAAAGTACATCTCAAAGCACATCCTTTCTCCACCCAATGTCTTCCTTTAGGGCTTACTCCTCCTAACCCGTTTTCTAGCTGCGTGATTCCTCCCAAAATTTACAAGAGACATATCAATAGCCAAAGGAAGGCCAGAATACGAGAGGGAAAGGTGAGGGGCACTTAGGCCACTATCCGAAAAGGCTTTGAATCTTTTCCATGACTGTGTGTGGGCTTCCAAATTGTTGTTTTCCAACTGGGTTTTCCTTTTAAGTGACATATTTTGGAAATGGGCCTCCATATCATTACCCCTCTTCTCATCTTCACTATCTGATAGAACATAGACATCTATTCCCTTGGGCTCTTGGGTTTTCATACTAGTTGTGGGCTCAATAACATAGTAAGAACCTCTTTTCACTGCCACTAGTGAATTTGGATCTTCTTGGGAATCAGACAGGGACATGGACAGAGAGAAGGATTGATCCCATTCCTGGTCCCCACCAATGTAATGTATTACTGAAAGAGGAGGTACGTGGCCTTGGGAGCCACTTTTTCGCTCCAGCATGGTACATTCCTCATTTCAGGCTTGGGTCCTCAACGCTTCTGCCCTATGATCCTTAGGGATGTCAGATGATTCTTCAGTTACTATCCTGCTTCCTCTTATGCCCCTGCAATTTGCCGACCCCGCATCCCCTCCGAACGTTTATACTTTTCCTTTGAGTTTTTCTTTCTTTTCCGACTCCTCTCGTGTTCTTGGCGACCAAATTTCCCTGAAAAAGCCCTCGGGTTGACTGCTTTGTGCTCTAAGCTCCAGTCCATACTGGCCATTGGATCTAAACGCTCGTCTATCCTTACACTAGCTTTGTGGATGGCCAATCCGACCACACTGGTAGCAGAAGTCAGACAATCTCTCGTATTTCAATTTGATCCATATATCATCTTGGTTATCCGGGGTGAAGAAGAAACCCTTATTTAGGGGTTCATTCAGATTGATCCTACATTTCACCATCAAATAGCTCCGCTGGATTTGGACCTCACCTCAAACTCCTCCAATTGGGTTGGTTCACCTATTATCTTGCCAATTCTCCATGAGTTGTATTTGGTCATCATGTCAAGGGGCAGCCCCCAGATTTGCACCCAGAACTCAGCCAAATGGAAATCGAAGTCTCCTATAATACACTGAGGTTAATACATCTTCAATACTAGAAGGGCCCCAGAGACAGACCATGGGCCTTCGTTCAGAATCTTATCTCTATCCTCCTCTTTTTTGAACATAAGCATATAAGTATTTCGCTCCCAGTAAGTAATAGAGAATCCTATAGAAGTCTTCCAAGAGCTTTGTAACACGTTGCAAACCCCCTATTTATTGAGGGTTGTATCAGTGAAAAAACGACCCACAAGGCAGAACTTCTTGATCGTCTTTGAGGTGGAGGGGTTAGTGTAGAGGGAAATGCGTGGGTGGTGGGTTAGAGTGTGAACCAGCTTCTGAGTCCTTATCCATAGAGAAATGTAGATGATAACGACCTTGAGGAGGGTAGAAGAGATAGGAAACATCAGAGAAGGAAAGGCTATGGGTGAATAGTAGAACAAGGGTATTAGGGTTTTGGGGGTTTTGGTTTATAGAAGAAGAACAAGGGTATTGGGGTTTTGGTTTATAGAAGACGACCCAGAAGTGTATCTACTTTAGGGATATAGAGTATTGGTAAGTACGACATAGAGACCAGGATTAAGTTGGCTCAGGATCCACTGTGAGGGAAGAAAAAATGGAGAACAGGGTTTCAGTATTCGTCTAAAGGGAGGGCAAAGAAGGTAAAGCAATGTAGGAAGCAGCTCCAATGAGAGTGAGAATGAGGGTGGTGTATTGGGTTAGAATAGAGGGGTAGGAAGGTAGACAAACGTCGAGACGTTTATTGTCACTGGAACTTGCCTATGCAAACCCTTGATTGGGAAGCAAAACACTGCATAAAAAGTGGCTAAATATGTTACTGAAAAGGAGCACAGAGTAATGAAATAAATGATGGGTAGGTGGAGTGTATAACAGGGGAGAAGAAGAAATGGATAATGGAAGACGAGGCGACCTTCCTCGGAATCGCCAATGGTATTCACTGTTACAAGATACGCAAAGGTTCAAGGGTGGGCATAGGAAAAAGCGGATGAGGATAACATCGCAGAAAAACCCTAAACCTAGGGGGAGAGCATTCATCCCGAGAGATCATATCACTAGATAAAACCATTCGGTACTGAAGAATACATTTTTAGTGTCGTTGTGAAAAGTTATTAATTTTAAAAGTCAATTTACTATTTTTAAAAATAAAGTACAACTATTTGGATAATTTCTGATCGATGATAAAATAATGTGACCGTATCGTGAATATTCCCAATCAGTTATAACTTCATTTTTAAAAGATTTAAACTTGATATTTAAAAATTATAGCTTACACATCAAAAATTTACAACTAACAACGTGTAACAAGAGTCAAGTGCAGCAGCCTTTTTCCATTTTTTTTTTTAGTTCAACAGTTGGGATGTCTGGACGAGTTTACCTACACCTCGACTAATCCTCTCCCCAGTCCGGTCAAAATCAGATCATTCACGCCAAGACTATGACCTGACCTCAACGAATTGTCAAGATTCGAAATCAAAACGTCTAGATTTATAAATTTATAATTCGTCCATATTACCACTTAAACAACTCTTTGCATTTTTTTCCCAACATTTTTGAACCTTGGATTGTCATGTACTACTTCTCCAAATCCGACGTCTCAAACCTAGGGGCAATAACATGGTTTTGTTTTGGCTGATAGATTATCAAAACAAGTCCAACTGACTCACACTAACATTCAATAACTACAATTCTCTTTTCTATCTCCCAAATTTGTAGGAAACCAAAAAGATCATTTACAATACCCAGGACACGCCAGATATGAAGAGGTTTGCGGGCTAACTAAATTGCAACGCAGATACTATGTATTATATTTCAAGTGAAAAAAAAAAAGGGAAGGAAACTGAATTGGACATCATAATTTTTCTAAGACAGAAGTATAGCATATTACAAAGGATGAGATCATACCAAAGGATTCCCACTTGGCGATCACCATATCCCCCAAAAAAGAACACGGGTGAGTATTATCTTCCATTCTTACAGTAAACTATCTTATCCTTGTTCTCTGTGCTTCTATCTTTCGGGTTTCATCTTCAGACCACACCTGCATGCAGTTGATGTTGGTAATCAATCATCAAGGAACAACTCTAACACAATATAATCACACGACATGTACAAGCCAACTATATTTGGTAAAGTGCGTTAAAAGCATTCATATCGACTTAAGCCTCAATTAGATGCCTGGAATTTAAAGCTTCCCCATAATACTAGATCTGATGACACAAATGAGCCCCAACTAGGTTTAGTGTTATAAGGTCCAGATTTCCAGGCATCCAATATTGGTTGAGACAACATGAACCACCATAGTAATGATCAAAACCCCCTCAACCCTCCCCCAAACCAAAAAAAAAAAATAGAACTTTTTTAACCTATTACGAGTTGTAAATGTACCCAACAAGAAGTTCATAACTAGAAGCGAATACAGCTGCAGATAAATGTAAGATTGTTCATAGCTCAATTTGTTTCTAAAATAAGAGTCAAAGGCAGTTCTCCAAGGCAGATTGAAAAATTTCTTTGGGAGACTAGTTCAGGTTGAGAAATGGTAGAGGAGTGGGTATGCAAGCCAGTGGTTACCAAAACTACAGTGGTCGTAGAAAGATAAAATCAAAAACTGGCCTCAGAAAGAATAAAAATACAGTTATTTTGTGCGTGCGTGCGCTCGTGTGTGTGTTTGTGTGAGAGAGAGGAAGGAGGTCAGCAACAAAAAACTAATTAGCCAGCTGTTACATGCAGTTGCCTCACTTGGATCTTCTAACTGGAAGTTGCACGTATTTGATTTATCTTCTCATTATTTTCTTTACATGCAATTTCAGCCCCTCGTTTGGCTCTAACAAACAAAATATGATTATTATAGCGGCAGATGGATCATAAGATGCTAAGAAGAATATAGATCCAAAGTTTTGATCAATCCCAATACGAAATTACGTGGACTTGAGAGTAAAAATGTTGCCTACCAAGTGTCAGCGTCTAGATTTAGGCTTGCAACGAAATTCAGCTAAGAGTGCTATATGATCAGAGGACCACTCTTGAGAAGGAAGAGCTGTGTCTTTTCTCAAACTATCTTCATCCAAAAGCTCCAACAAAGATTCCACAGTCAACGAGTCCGCTGAAACCACAGATCGGATTATTCAATATGTTATATGTCATTTATGAGATTTACACCATCTACAAAATTCGAATATGTTATATGTCATTTATGAGATTTACAAATTTTGTTTTATGAGATTTATGAATTTTGTAGAAGGAGGTTTTTCCATAAGTGGGAGCAACGAAACAGATGAATGACAAACTCAAAATATACCCGAGTAAAATATGTAATCATTTGTAACAATAAAATCTCTTGTGCAATTTGTAAACAATGGTTCATTTGTAGCAGGGTCCATTCTCCTCTTATGTTGCTCTAGACCGAGACCCACACCAATCCTTGCAAAGGATGAGTAGGCACTAACCTGTAAAACAATAGGGCCAAAACCAGCTCAACCATTAGCCAAAACTTGCTCACACACTACTTTCCTTACATAAGCTCTTAAAGAAATAATCGAAGAAATATAGTTACCAGTGCCAGCTGATGCACTAGTTTGCTGGAGGGCCTCAAAATTCCGAGAGGGTCTACTGCTAAATCTTGATGCATTGGATCAACTTTCCCCAATGCAAGAAGTGAATGAGGAGCACTGCATTGAAGTTCATCATTACATTTAGGTAATTGATACCACACCAGTAATTTTAAGATGGCTTGTCGAATTAAACATTTACATCGATTATGCATCCGAAGTATTTGATGACTTGCGTAGTAAACATGAAAATGACATCAAACCATTAACCATTTACAATATATGAAGTTATGAACAACTGCCAAACCTTGCAGGAACTGAATTAAAGTCCCCACAGACCAACATTGGAATGTCTGCACTGGCGGCTATCTTTTCCAATCCTTTCAAAAGAGTATGAACCTGATATGTAAACAAGGGCAATAGAAAGTTATAAAAAATAAAATAGACAAAGGAAGCATATTAGGACACAGAAGAATGGGATTTAAATGAGAACCTGCCAAAGTCTGACATCCTTTAGATCTTGTTGGACATTTACATGTGTATTCGCCTGTACCCAAAAAATGACCAAAAGCAAAACCTGGTCACTAGATGCTCAAAAAAATGCATCCAAAGTCAGAGGGAAAATGAAGAATAGAAGGGAAACAAGGAAAAGAACCCGAGGAGCACACAATATCAACACAAACTACAAACAGGATAGGATACAGATACAACTCCATGCAGACACACCTGGATTATAAGTGCTGAAAATCAAAATACAAAAATGACGAGGAAACAACAATATATATCATGTAATAACGTTAAAAAATAATTTATTCATTGTACAGTCCATATATATGACAAACAGCTCGATTTTTCAAATTAATCATATCTTCTAGGTTTCCAACATACAACATCAAAATCACACATCATAAGTTAAAGTTTGACTGGCATGAACTTGGGACAAACTTTGACAGAAATTACTACATTAGAATCTTCTTTTAATAAGCATTCCAAAATTCTAGAACCAAAATATTTTTCCTCCCGCACTTATGTTCTAACACAACAAATTTACATCGTAATGGTCAAAATGAGTTAGCAATTTATCTCAAAGTATCCAAGAGGTTTCAAAGACTAGTTCAAAGTTAAATAATTAATTCTCACATTATAGATACATCTAAGAAAAGCTATCTCACATATTAGGTCTGTTCGGAACTAACTTAAATAGGAAGTTTTTAAGGACTTTGGATTAAAATAAATCAAGTCTGTTTGGGCCTTGACTTTTTCACTGCTTATATAAGAGCTGTTTTCAGACCACAAAAGACTTATTTAAGTTGACTCAAGAAGCTGATTTTATGAGCTTTTCTTCTGACTTTTTGGAGTTTTGTGGCAAGTCCCATATAGTTTTTTAGTTTATTATATTCATAAAATATTATTAGTGGCGTAAAAAAATTTGAAATTCATATTTTGGGAACTGTTATGCATAATCTATACATATATATTATTTTTTTATTTTGACACAAAAAAGCTAGAAAGTCATTCCAAAGTGAATTTTTCCAACTTTTTCAGCTTTTTAAATAACACCCCAAATGGTTTTGGGGACCTTTTAACTTTGATTTTTTTTGTGAAACTTTTCAAACCGCAGCTTTTCACCTAAAAAAGATAGCTCCAAATAGGCCCATTATCATCATATGTTATGAAACACCACTTCACCAGAAGCATCCGTGCTTCCCAGTATGGAACCTAGATTTTCACTAGGAAGAAAGAGTTTTGGAAAAGAAAATGAAACCACAAAGTAAGTTGCAAACATGCTTTTTTGTCCAGCATCTATTAGTTATTTATTGATATTCACCAGGATATGGTACTCTTTGCAACCTGTAACATTTATAAGCCTCTAATGGGCGACAAGGATATGGGAAACACAAAAGCCACTGGCACATTCTCAAAACAAAGGGGTTAAGACAAGACACAAGCAAATCCAATAAAATTTCTTACCACACAAACAAGCTGGCGCTTTCCAGGAATGTCAACCCCCTGTTCACTAAACTTAGCTTCTAGGACCACTATTAATGCAACATTATCCTGGAAAACAAAAAGATAAAATTAGTAGAAATTATAATATCATCAAAAAGACAAGCCAACACAATTCACATCGGGCAGTAAGCCCAAAGGGAAATAATTAACTTATTCAACCAAGGTACCTTTACCAACCGATTTAAAGCAGTTTTTCTCTGAGCACTTGGAACTACAGCATCAGTCAAAGATTGGGCCGCTTTATTAAACTCAACCTGCACATAGACATTGTTAAACTAACAAGAAAAAACTTAAAAGCAGTATTTTTCACAAGGAAGACTTCCACACCTCATATTTTTTGACATGTGCGAATCTATCCCTACGGAAAAAGGTGGCACAACCATCAATGGTATTCATATTACCACTGAAGACCTGCATTACATAATAACAATGTAGATTAATGACAAGAATTTTCAGATGCTAAAACCAATAATTTCAATAACCAACCTCTGCCGTTTTTCTTTTGAATAAAGCTTGATAGCCATGTTTGTCAAGCTCTGGGGAAAAAAATTCCTCAAAATGATCACTTTGAACCTGGAAGGATGAAGATTCAACCTTTATTGGCCAAGTGTTTAAAGAGTCTGTTCAACCTTAAAAATCACAGAGCAAGGTGCCAGGTCCTGATCCTGAACATATCATTTTTCAGGATATGAAATAAACTATTAGTAAGGAGGCATCCCAAGCAAAAAGTAATAATCAACACCAATTCATTCAGAGGAATCTCCATGAATTTGATTACTCTTAAGAGTGCAGGAAAGCATAGGGAAATCAGTGAAGCTACAGAGGGTACCTCAACAGAATCCCAAAGCATTAATATATAAATACTCAAAGATAATTATGCGAAATACTTGGCTAACTGAAATCATAATTTAGATTCTTTAGCAAAGAATTAATATTGAAAATTACTGAATTTAAATGATGATTGAAAGAACTGACGGCCTATACCTTATGAGCAACAGGGCCGGCTTCTAATCAATTCCCGTTATATAGTTTATTGTTATTAACAATTGAAGCTAAGAGTGATGCTCGGAAACATTTGCCAGGTTGCTTTTAAAAACATGTTCTTTAAAAAAAAAAGATTTTAGGGACCATTTTCAGGGGCGTTGAAAAGTGTGATTCTAATATTTTTTTTCCCAAGCCGTTTCATAGTTTGACAATTGGAACCCCCGAACCACTAATATTTTCATCAGTATCATTTTAAAACTAAAACATTTTGCAAGTGTATGGGTAATATTTTCTTCAATATAATTAAAATTAAAATAAATATATTTTGTGAAACCAGCGCTAGACTACAAGAAAATTAACAAGTGCATGATGGCAGCTTTGCCTCTATGTATAATGGTAATTAAATCTACGAAATGCCACATGTTCATTACTAACCTAACCTTATACCCAGTGTTTCACTTTCCACAGGACATAGGTTCAACATTCAGTTACAAAACCCTGCAAACAAATTAATAACTGATCATGCATAATATGCATGTATCCTCTCATGTGTGTTCATAAAAAAAAATAATAACTTATCGCAAAGCAGAATGTCCCTTTACCTCTTGAAGACAAACAATGTCTGCGTGGTACCCAACAATTTCTCGTAACAAATTCTGTCGGCGATAAGGCCAAGAAAGAGCCCAAGAGGGGCAATAACTGTATAAATCACCTGTAGCATTTGCATCAGATAAAATGTTGTATGAGAGCACAGTAAAAGTGCCTACAGAGGAGATACGTCCATCTAGATACAAATGCCCTGTCACATCACTGACTGAAATCAATCGACGTGGACTAGGGGATGGAGCTGGAATGACACGGGATGTCAATATACTATTCGCCTTTCCCACAGTTAGTTTTGTTTCTGCATCTACTACAACACACTCAAACTTAAGGGCATGGCCAATATCATCAGCTCTTGGCGTGTATGTTTTGGAGCGTCCAACTTCAAACCATATTTCATCACCATTCCTTTGTGTAATTGCTGCAGGATATAAAGGCGCTGCACCATTTGCCAAACCAGAGATCAACTGCGAAGCAGGTATGCTTGTATTGACTACTCCAGATCCTGTGCCATTGAAGCGCCCAAATACTTCTTCCTCCTCATCTCCATTTTCATTAACAGCGCTAGTCGCACGCTCATGCAGAACACGATGATGTTGCCATGCATCCAAGAAACATTTTGGAGAGCAATGATAACTTTTGGCAACAGGTATTTTGGCTTTAACACAACCGACACACTGCAGTGTGGCCTGCTCAGATGGATGTACACTACAGATTGAAACTTTCTTGTCACTTTGTATACGATACCTGCATAACAATGCAAATAATACGAAATGGGTATTAGATCAAGTATAACACACCAAAATCCAAAATTCAAACCCCTTTAGTAATAAGTCCCACAACGAGAAATTTAGACAGAGGAATCCTTTTTTTTCAAGTACCACAATCACATATCTTGGAATCAAAATATATGAACTCTGATTCAACATTAATTTATGATGATGATGATATCAAAATATCAAATAAGTTGTATAGAACAACATCAAGTAGATGTCTTTAATGTCTTTCTAACGAAGAGTAACAGAAGATTCAGCACTTAGCTACAATTTTTTTTATGAGACAAAGGGTTCAATGTATAGACTGGCTGACTTAGGATGTGATGTGAGATGATCAGATGATTCTTCCAAGATAACTTAAATTCACAGCAATTCCTATGGTCATAAATATTCATCTCCCAGTTTAATGATGCCAAACATCAAACATTACTGCATGACAGTATCTCAGATTAGATCAATTTCTAAAACAAATAACTGTGTAATTCATTCTGAAAGTAATCAGTTCCTATGATCCAATCAGTTGCCAAATTCTTTAAAATGGAATCACTTTCCTGCGTTAAGTTTAATAGAAAAACAGTAATTAACAGTAGAGAAGAAACAAAGCATCGTGCAAGACACAAAAACATCAAGCCTCTCCCAAGCTCGATATGATTGACATAAAAGGCCTGCTAATTGTTGAAGTAAACAAAGCACAGCCAGAAGTATCAATTCGCACAGATGCCCTTGTGATGGAGCAGTCTATCTGAACAAAGCATATGACCATCCACTATTGTGGAACTAAGTTAAAGGTAGTAAATGAAACAAAAATTGCAACCAAGCTGATATTAAATTCAACACTGAGATTGTAAGCAGATGTAGAAGTGATAATTGATAAAACTATAGGTGGAATGCATTACAGCAGAACAGCATCTAGGATTAGGCATTCCTCAAAATTAGTGATATGTCCATAACCTTAATGATAGGGATATTTTGGAGTGGGCATCTCTTCTCCCTTTGCTTGATTCGGTCCCGTTGGATTTGTCCATTAATGATAAAAGGGTTTGGTCTCTTGAATCTTAAAAAATTTTCTTTAGTGGTTCCTATTATCAACATTTAATTGATAATCCTAGTTATTTATTCCTTGAACCTCATTTGATGATTTGGAAGACTTGGGTTCCAGTTAAGGTGCACGTGCTTACTTGGATGATTACCCATAGTAGGCGAGTACTTGTGATTTGTTGTAAAAGAGAAGGCCTAACATGTATATTTTCCCAAATTGGTGTGTTGTGTAAGGAAAGTGGTGAAAATATTGATCATTTATTCCTTCATTGTCCTATTGCGAATTTTTTGTGGATAAACTTTTGTGGTAGGCGGTTCTAGAATGGGTGACACCTCATGATTGTAGTTCATTATTTGTGGTAAGTTTTGGTGTATTCAAGAATGGGAAAAAAGCCCCAATGTTGTGAAGATGCGCATTTTTGGCCATTTTTTGGGTGGTGTGGCTACAGAGAAATCGTAAAATTTTTTAAGGGAAGGAAGATAAGGAGTAGTTGTTATGGAATAGAGTGCAAATTTTAGCATCTTTATCAGATATAGCCTCAAATGGGTTTCCAGACACTCCTCTATCAATTTTCCAACAAAATTGGAATGTTATTTTGTAATTGAAAGTCTGGTTAATGTAGTTTTTTATATTTTTGGGATTTTTGGGTGGATTTCTTTTCTACCATTTATGTACTTTTTCATCTTTTAATGAAATGAAAGTTTTGTTTCCTATCAAAAAAATAATTAACACTATTATGTGCGTAAGATTTTAAGTTGTGCATAAAATAAATACGATATGGATGTGATAATAAGAATGTAATAAATGCTCGATTAAAAATAGAATAATTTGTTAATTGTACTGAATTAGATATATGAGACGGATTCCTTTCAAAATTTCCCAAGTAATACTTAACACAAGTAAAAAGGGGCATGTATTTCTTTCATCTTGATTTTGGCAAACCGCAGAGTACCAGTAGTAAGTCGTTCCACATGTATTTTTTAATGGTAAGTTGGCCAGAGTCTCTCTTGCACAAACTGTTTTAAAATTTTGGAGAAGTGTCAATCAAGTCATAATTATTGAAAATAGACGAAGTGGTAACCCACGGATACAAGAAAGATCAGCAAAGACTATTATAGTGACATGTCTATGCCAAACTTTTCTAATTTGATTTCCAACTGACATCCTGTAGTCACTTACGGAAAAACTAAAAGAATTAGTTGGCCAAGAATCCTTGTTCTTGGGTGCTTGCCGAAGGCAAAATTTAAGTCAAAGCTGAGATGTAACAAGAAATAAAAAGAAATATGGCATCCAATCTTGCAGGAACTTGACAAATCCTCCAACAGCTGTACAAAATGCCTGCAATCCATTTTCTTTCAAAAAAAATTATAACCGGAATGGAGTTGCTTTATGGAAAGTTTGTCTAACAACCAGCAATACAGAACAACAAACTTAAAGAGTTAAGAGTAAAGCAAGTTGTTAACTTCACACCAAATATGAAACTCTGTAGAGTCCAAGTCATTTTGATGTATTTCCAATATGTACAGCAAAGTCCCAAATCTAATGGATGGGAATGCGTTGGCCCATTGCCTCTTTTTAAAAGTCAAAGGGTAATTATGCGTCCAAGTTTTTTTTTCTTTTCTGAAAAGTAATGCATCCAGGAAGGTTATAGGATGGGGTAAACATAAACAGTGACATGAGTTTTTCCCTTAGGATCCCCCCCGACTTGTTGCCTAGTGCCTATTAATTTGTATGGGATTTATTGTACCCTTTGCCATTAATTAGTGCCAATGTGTTTCAAGAACTTTAGACTTCAAACTCGTCTTTGTATAGACAGAGTAGAAAATAATAAATGAAACTCAACAAGGCAAAAGGTGATCAAAAGTAGAAAAGAATGGCGTGTCCACATTTTGAGTAAAAACCATGGTTTGACAATATCATCAAGAGTCAACAGATCATAATCTCTTGACAACAAGACAGCAATGGCACCCACCAAAAAAAGAATGCATAAAGACACAAACCCATTGATAGCACTCACTGAACAACTGACACAGCACCCATATTCTCCAAATCTCTATTGCAAGCCAAATCAGGTCGTCTTTCTAGTTTAAACTCTATCTACCTCCGTAGCTCTTTTCTACCTCTAAATCTGGTTTTGATTCACGGATAGATGAGATCCACTGGAGACCCTCCACCAATTGCTACGTTTCTACTCCTAGATCCCTCCCATGCCATCAGAATCCTAATACATCCAAGAAAACCCCCTTCTTCATATTGCAAGGCATAATATTCACGGAGTTCCATCTCAAGCATTCACCTAAAAATTTAAACACGCCTCTATACAAGCTTAATTCATATGCACTCTTTTTCGGGTACTGATGAACCCTTTCCATCATACAGTGTCAATGACATACTACAGAGCATTGCATCAAAACTAAATAAAAAAGAGATCTAACATTTACCAAGAAAATCCGTATCAATGCAACAAAAAATATCTCAACGGTCAATTAATCACTCAAGATTAATCAAAACGAAGGAGCGGATTGATCATCAAGAAAACCGTCAATTAATCACTCAAGTTTTTAGCAACTAACCACTTGTATCTTAAAAAGTGGCCATCGAGTGGAGCGGATTCGGGTACATCTTCGGGCGTTGTAGAGTTGTTGGAACGGCGTAATAGAACGTACGGCGTAAGCTCGCAGCCAACGATCGGAATGTCAGACGGAAGGTGCACTCTCAGCACACTCAGCATACTTGGACCCACTCTTCTTCTACACAATCAAAATTACAACTCACAGAACCTAACCCTAACCCTAGAAATGATCGTCCAATGAGCCTTATGGAATCCAAATCGAAAATCAACAGCAAGCAGACATATGGCAGATCCGCCATCACCTGACCTCCACGCCAATCGCCAGCCTTGCAGTATACTCTCACCAAAACCCAAGAAAATTTCGAAATATCAACCAAACAAATTTGAAAAACTTAAGAAAAAAAAAATCGAAAATCGATTGCAAAGACAAAGACAGACAAACAAGAATATCAATTAGACAGAGAAAATGAATTGATTTTGAATGGGAAGTGGAGTGATTAGAGAATCGACCGATCGGAAAATAGAGATTGAAGGAAAGTGAGAAAGAAAAGGTTGATTTAATAGAGAGAAAGTTGGATTGAAGTGAGAGAAGATCTACTTATTCGCCAGTTAGGGTTTTACAGAGACAAAGCAAGAAGTTAGAGTCGTTCGCTTGCAGAATTTTCTGTGTTTTGTTTTTGTTGGTCGTCTCGTTTCGTCTCAACCTTCTAAATTTACGAAGCTGTACCTGTACGTACAGAGGCCAGTACACATATACAGAACGTGTGTTCTTGTTTCTTATTTCTTAAATTTTTAATTTTTTTAATTTAATCTCTTAATTATAAATTCCATCTCAATTAAATTTTTTTTATCTATTTTTATCGTTAGATTAAATGAAGAATAGTCTAATCTGATCAATTTCCATCATTAGATAATATGTTTCTATTTGATCTAACAGCAAAAATTGAGAAAAAGACTTAATTAAGACGAAATTAATAATTAAAAGACTAAATTAAAACAATTAAAAGTTCAAGGACTTATTATGAAATTTATCATATTTCTTTTTTTTTTTTTCTAAGAAAGGCATTTTGAACCCAAAATAACTTTAAAAAAATTTATTTATTTTTTTAATGTTTAAAAATCTCACATTCCACCGATTAATTTTCTAAAATGGTAACCATATACCTTGACTGCAAGTGTTGTCTCATTTTTCATAAGTTGTCATCCACATGCCTAGCAAGTGTGATGTTTTTTTATTTTTTGTGAACAGAAAAATATATATAAATAAGTCACTCTACGTATCGTCAAGAAATATTAGATTTATTTAGAACAGATTTTTTTTGGGTGTGAAATAAAGGTTTGAAAAGAACAATGACAAAATTAAAGTTACAAAATTTCTTAAAACTGTTTGGAGTATTTCCAAAAACGCCGACTTTTCCTTAGAATATTTGCAACCTTGACTTAAATTTAAATTTGAGTCAAAATAACCCAAAAAATCTCTCTAACATTGGACTAAAACCTATATCAAATTAAGACAAAATTTATTCTAGACCCAAATTGAAACAGACTCAAATTTTATACCAAATTTCTAACAGTAATTTTTTAACCTATTCAAAACTAAAACACTTCTTCGATGATTTGTTTTCTACCTCTAGTATTTTCCTTTTCATCTTCTTAAGTTTTTATATTTTTTAAAACCCTAATTCACCTATCTTTCATATTATATAAACTGTAAGTTTGTCCATCAATTTGTTCTTTGATTTTTTTGAATTAAACACTATCAATAGTAAAATTTCAAGCTAACAATTATTCTTGAAATTTTAAACCTTCACTACCTACAAATTTAAAACATTTGTCATTTTATTTTTTCAATTTTTTATTTTTGTTAAAAAAACGTATACTTTTTGTGTTCTTCAAACCAAACCCATGTCAAAATAGGTATATTTTGTTTTCTTTTTCTTTATCTAGATTTATAAAAAATGATAAGAGATTAAAACAACTTTAAAATTATGGGGTAGTTTCTTTATTCTCATGTAGTGCTGTATACATATTTATTATTTTTTTTTTTTGAATTACCTATTTGTTAGGAGATATGAAAGTTTCATTTATTTTTATCAAATATCATAAATTAAATAACATAAAAACATGAGTTTTGGGACAATAAGAAATTTTTTTAAAAAATTTGAATAGATATTTGAGTTTGTCTATTATAGTACTCTATACTAAATCAAGTTTTTTACATAAATTTAGACTCAAATTTAAGTTATGGTTGAATATACTCTTAGAAACCCTTGGATAAGTCCCCGGATAAATCTCATTTTTTAATTTTTCTTTACTACTGATAAAAAGTGTTTTTATTTAAAATATTGATGAAAAAATTACCTAATAAACCTGAGTTCAAACGAATTAGACTTCTTTTTTTCTAATCTTTCAAAAGTTGAAGTTTTTGAGCCACCTCCACACAAGCCCATTGTCATAGGAGGGGAAATGTTTAATGTAAGTATTATTTGAATGCATGAAAAAGGTGCAAAACTTTTAAATGTTTTCGTGCATTGCACGAGATATAGTTAGTCCTTATCCATTATTATGTTAAGAGACATGACTAAATGTTTGTAATATCGTAACTAGAATATTAATATTGTATTCAAGACAAGAGTAAACATTTTAGGTGAAAAAAGAATATAAAATCATTGCCAAGAGCTTTCTCAACGTGTTTTACTTAACTTCAACTTGTTTTTAATTTGCTATTGCCACGTGTAATTGTATCAATTATTAGGGGTAATATGTGCCTAAAGGTACGGTATAATATGAATGGTTTGAGAAAAATGTTAGTGACCGTTAGATGAGTCTATCTGAGACTTACCGTTAAGATTATTAAAATCTGTCTTATTTTATATTATAAATACCTTGATAAGTTACTGATTTATTCTATTTTTTGATATATGACAAATCTTTAATACTATTAATGTGGGTACAATAAAATTCAATAATAACCCCTTAAATTTATTATTATGAGTCCGACATTGACCTCTTACTGATCCGAAACTTCAGTTTTTGGTTATTAAAAAATCAAATCATAGAGACAAACAAAGCCATATAAATTCTCAACAAGGAAGAAACTCGACCTCGGTCAATCAATACTGTATCTCCCGTAAAAGCGATCAAAATTCAAACATGCCACGTTATCTTTCGCAATTTATGAACTCATCTATCCACGAGACACCCTTTGCAGGAGGCAACTCTTTTTTTTTTAGGTTGATGGCGACTTTCATTTGAGATTCTCATAAAAAGGGACGAGTGGTAAAAGTCAATAAAGAGTACATGATTCTAAAGTTTTTCAATGCCAACTCTAATTTTTAGTTATTCTTTTAATGATGCAATATGCATATTATGTAAATATGTGTATAATTTTCGGATTTAATAGTGAAACCATAAAAAAATCCAATATAGATTATTTTTTTTCAATTCATTTTAGCAGGAATCGAAGTTGTAGATATCCATGTGAGTTGAGGTTATGGTCACATGAGAGTTTCCCTTGCAGTAAACCAGTGTGCGTATTAATTAACGCTCCTATGCTTCTCAATAAAAACAAGAGTAATACTGTTAAGATTTAATTTATTGACATAATTTGTGGATCTAATTTATTATGATTTTTGGATTGACTGTAAGTTCTATCAAACATTGAAATTTGATGTTAATCCAATGATTCCTATGAAGCCACATCATTACACTACAAGAAAAAATAAATTTTATGACAGTAAAATGCTGTAATAAAAAGTCTATTTGCCGTCACAAATACTTTTTGTGGCAGTATTGGCTCCCCATAATAAGTGTGGTCTCAAAATTTTTTTCCAAGGCAATGGTATGTCTCAAATAGTATTTACGACGGCAAGATCCTGTCGTAAATAAGTTGTCACAAAAAATCCGACACTTTTATTTTTATCACGGCGGCAAAAATGTTGCCTCAAATATCATATTTGGCTGTCGTAAAAAATAGAAGATATATTTATGACAACAACAATGCCGTCACAAAAAAAAAAATTTAATTATTATGGACCATTCATAACCAATATTATATACTCTGTGCATATATACACTCCATACAAATTTTTTTTTTGGTGGGGGAAGGGGACTTGAACCCTCGACCTCAAGAAGACAAATCTTTCACAATGTAAGGAGTACTATTAGACCAAAGACTCATTCGTATCCATACAACTACCCAATTTAATTTATAGATAAATACAAAAGTAAATAAAATCAACATTTCTAAAAATATAGCAATATTTTCATATCCAAAAAAAACAATCACATGAGTTAAACAAAATATAAAATATGCACTTTTATAAAACAAAACGATCTATGAGTACAAGAAATTAATGCAACTAATTGAACATCCTTCCCGAACCATCTACTCTCTTAATGACATTTGAAAAAAAATATAAAATTAATATTTATATACATATATATAATAAAGAACTAAAAAAAGTTAGAATATACATCAATAGAGGGTCATGCAATATTTTTGTGAACGACTTGTCCAATTATGTAAATGGTATATAAACGAGTCATATCGTATATATTTCTTCTAATTTGTTTTACCAATACCTGATTTATTTATAATCGTATCATGACGGGTCCACTCGTTTGCTAAACAGGTGGCTTAAGGAAGACTCAAACCCACTAATTTTATGTCGTGTTAACGGATCGTGTCATATTTTGGCACCCCTAATTTTGATATAAAAACTTGACTTTGTAGAGTTTAATTTTTTTTTCTTTGAACTACAAATTATCTTTTGATGTTAAAGTACGTAATTTTATAAAATATTACTTGTAACATGAAAAATAGTTGTGGCTAATATAATTTTTTTTTAAGAGTTTTTCTTCTTTAAACTATAAAATATTTTTTAATCTAAAACAACATTTTAATGTTTAATGAAATATTATATACGACAGGAAAAATAGCTGCCATAAATATAAATTTTTTTTTAAAATTTATAAAATATTATTTGAGACAAGAAAAACGGCTATCTCAAATACAAAATTTGTTTTTGAGTTTATGACATTATTTACGACAGAAAAAATAGTTGCCACAAATATTAACACAAACACGCTTTTTGCGACGACAAACGCAGCAGCCACAAAAAATTATCTCAAATACGTTTTTTGTGACGGCAAACATAGCCGTCATAAAAATTTTGTCACAAAAGACCCTTATTCTTGTAGTGTTATGTCAACAAATTAGATTAGATTTTTATGTCCAAATAACATTATTCTAAAAACAATCATGTATTATTGGCACCATCATTGTACAACTTGAATGGGGTGAATTCCTTGGGGTCAGGTTGCGAGGGATTCGTTATGGATACCTTAATCCTGACATGAATGATCTGTCTTTGATCGGATAGAAAATGGGATTAGTCGAAGTATATATAAATTAGTTCGGACATCCCTAATCGGTAAACAAAAAAAAAATTACCTAAAAGATCGTAATGAGTGAATAAACCTCTTATTTTAGTGAGGTTTTCGAGAAATACATGGTACACAACTTTAATTTTATTTCAAAAAGATAGATTTTCAAACTCGAACGGAATATGCAATGTTTGTGGTTCTTAAGATTCAATAAGTTGTTCATTTGAATGCAAATAACAATTGCAACAAAATCATTTGAGCTGACAGTCTAGTGGTA